AAATCTATATAGCTGAGAGGAACACAATCATGGTACCAGGATTGATTCCAGGGTCTGCCCCTAAGGACTTAACATTTGGGTCAAATCATGGAAACAATTGAAATCCTTACCCTGTAACCATATGTATAATTGCTGGGCATATCAACAGAATCTGAAAGGCTTATTTTTGTGATATAATAACCATAGTTATCAAATGTGAAGGGTGATATCAACATGGGAAAAAGTGGATTATTGCCGTAGGGCAAATGGTTGACTGGACAAAAACTTCCCAGTATACAGTAGTTCTCACTCCAGAACCATCAATACAGTTGTTGAGCATGAAGAGACAAACACCATCATGTCATCAGGATTTGTCCAGGAGTCTGTTCTTTATAACCAGTCTGTATTTCTCAATCCTTGCTGGTCATGAAGAGATGATTACATTTATGATTTAAGTATTGGTCCTGGGTCTGACCCTGCCCTTTGGGACTTATTCCCTGAGTCTTACCATGGAAATTTTTAAGATCCCCAGACTATGATATCTTGATTTCCCCTCCCTGGGATCTCCCCTTTACTTGTACACATAGTGCCTGGGCCATAAGATGGGAAGGGTTGAGATCCCAACCCTCTAACCATATTGCTCAGCATGTACTGACTTATGATTGATTGATCTGCCCCTATGGTCTAAGTTAGGACCTAATCTTTAGTTATAACTAAGAACAGTTCAGACCGCCACCTTAAAACAATATATCATAGGCTTGCTAACAGTGTTAGCCCCAGGTTCTGGCCCCACACTTGGAGTCTTACTACAATATGTATATTACTTTTAGTTAAAATATTTTGCCATGATGGCTTAAATATCCAGGTAGGATACAGGCCCTCTGTACCTCTTGTTTAAGTTGAGATTAAATTAAAGGGTACTAAAGATTTAAGAAAATTGTATACATCAACAAGATGGGGTTTTAGCTTAAAGTTTATTTACTAATCCAAAACCACATATTCTACTAATGGTATAACCGTCTAACACATCCCCAACATATTATACATATACACATTTAAAAAATTAACATATATATTAACACATATTGTATTCCATCCACACTGAAATGGTCATAAAAATTAGCAAATATAAATATATTTACATAAATTTTATTTGAAGGTATTATTTTGTGTGCAATTAGCAAATATAAATATATTTATGAATTCAAATTTTATTTGAGGAAACTGTGTATTAAGAGGGTAATGTGCTTCTGTCAAAATCATTTTAAATAAATTTTGTCTGTCAAAGTAATAATACTCAGAATATACACATTTAATATATTTACTGGGAAATGTGTTTTTCACGTTTGTTTAAGTTTTGTATTAATAATATTGCATCCGAATTACATATGCACTTACTATAAAATTACGTAATATTTTAAATGAAATTGTTGGTTTTGAAGTTTTTACACAAGGAGCTGGCTGTTTGTGGTTCCCAAATGATATTTTTAAGTTTCTGGTAAAAAGAATTTTTATCCTGTATCAGACACCTAACTGCTATTAAATGGTCCTGAAACATAGTACAAGTTTCTATCAAATACCCCTGAAATTTCTTTATATTAATTGTACAAGAATTGTCTTAGACTTAATCTTATACTTGTATTATGTTTTATAAGCCCATCATCATTGCCCTTCTTCCATAATTTGTGGTCCGTCTGTCCATCCATCTGTCCTGAAGCATTTCTTGTTATTGCTATTTCTCAGAAAGTACTGGAGCGATCTTTTTCAAATTTGATATGTAAGTTCCTCTTGGACCCTAGTTGAGCATATTTACTTTCGAGACTGACCAAATAAAAAAACCATTCCCGTCAGATGGCCATCTTGGATTTTGACAATTAAGGTTTGTTATTGCTATTTCTCAGAGAGAAGGGGACAATAAATCTTTATCAAATTTCACATGAAGGTTCCCCTTAACAGTAATTTTTTTGTATTGTTAAAAAAAAACATGTCCGTATTGATCCGTCATTGACAGCACTTGTTATAAAAGCAATTCTTATAAAACAGCATTTGTCATAGTGGCAAATAAAATATAAAATTATAAAGTTTAAGTTAATGTACAAGATTCCTGTTTAGGATTTCCAACATAGGACTGGGTAATAGTATGTGTGTGTACCTGTAAGGGAAATGAAGAGCCAAGAAGGTAAAGATCATCTTTTGTAAATCTTTATAAAGAACCAAGATCCTTCTAGGATCTCTTGTCATCTTTTAACATTAAGCTTTCAATTAACAAGATGAACATAATCATGCTACTAGGATTAGCTCCAAGGTCTGGCCCCAAAATAATGCCAGGGTCATTGAGATCTCTACTCTAATTACACACACATATATTAAAAGAAATCTCAACCAATGCTATGAAACTTTCTTGACCCTTGTGACCTGAGAATCAGTTGTTTAAACTCATTCATCCCTGCAATTTCATCATGAACTATTCCAACCTTTGAATTGGCACTAGCTGTTTGATTGGTCTCGGGTAGAAACCTGACCAATCGCTAGGCTGATACCTGTCCTTTAAAGATTACAGGGGATCGAGCGACACCTGACTTCAAAGCCAGTCAATTTTACGATTACATGACTGACAGAATCTTGTGATGTATCAAACTGGTCTCCTCGTCTCATCCACAAGGTGGCGCACACAGAGCCTTCAATTTTTTCATGATATATTTCAGGGGTGTAGAGAGTGTAAATGCATGATGGCCTGGGACATCAATTCAGTTCAATGTCTAAACATTTGAGTTACATTGCATCTGATGTGTGTTAATTAGGTCCAACTGTCTCCATCTCCAATACGCCTATGGCACATAGTTGATGATATGGATTGTTCCATCTTGCTGACCAATCCACAGACAGTTATCCGTGTCCATAGCAACAGCTATTGGGTGTGTCAAACCATCCTCTTCTCTCATTAGGAACTTTCTGAATTGACCCTCAGGGGTCAACTGATGTACAGCATGGTTCCAGTAGTCGGACACTATAAGGTGATCAGCCTCGTCCTGACACATCCCTCGTGGATAAAACTGATGTGCTAGGTTGTTACCTATTGCTCCGTAATATTTTGTTTTCTTTAGAAGATTGACTACAAATCCTGTATCCTTTATGTTTGGCCTTGAAGGATGAAAAGGTGCATCAAGATAAAACACAGCTAATTTTGTCTTTACAATATCACAAATCTGCTCGGAAAACCAGTGGTTTTGTTTAAAAATTTCTTTTAGCAAGACTCCATCTTTGTTGCATTCATGAAAAAGTATTTGATTTGCTATGTAGTCATGATACTCAATGGGTTTTCCTGTGCATGAAATTACATTTCCAGATTTTGCTATTCCAATGCTTCCCAATTTAAGTTTCCCATCTTGTTGACGTAAATCAGCAAAGCGGTAGATGTTGCCCTGTGCTGTAACTCTGTTGATGAGTGTACTGGATGCTGTTTGTACATATATTCCATGTTCAGTCATTTGAGTGATTTGAACCACACCAGTCATGAGTGGTTTAGGCTCCTCTGTCCATTTGTTTGTCTTGCTTAAATCTATAAGGTAAAGCTTCCTCTCAGAAAGGATAAATGCAGTTCTGTTTCTAATTGGAGCAATTCTATCAATTGGTTTATCTTTGAATTTGTATCTCATATCTGATACTGCATCCTCATATACACTGTCGGAGTCTGTTGATTCGTCGTCAGTTTCCTCGGCTAGGCTGTTCCCCGGAGGTACGACTACACCCTCCGTGTTGTCAGAGTCAGATACCACCTCTATGTCTAGCCCAGTCACATGTCCGTATAGTCTTCCTTCACAATGGATACAGGCTTCTCCAGGTGTAAATACAAGTGGTTTCTCCATCTCTAAAGCTGATGTGGCTGATTGGTCAGAGGATTTGTGAAGCATTTCTAAGACAAGAAGCAGCTTTGTATTATCAAGGTTCTTCAGGGAAGTTGGACTCTCTGTAAACATTTTGATGATGGAGATAACTGTCTGTAACTGTACCATCTGACTGTCAAGGCATTGGGTGTGTGTTTGAAGATGACCAGTCACCGAAGACAGTAGATCTCCACTCCATCTTTCCACTTCTAGCGCTAGTTTTGCTTTGTGATTAGAAATTTCTTCAGAAATTTCTTGACAATTCCCTATCACTTTCTCTTTCTGTGTTTCAATGCCCTTGATTTTGTTTTTTAGATCTCTAGATAATTCCTCGCCATTTCTTTGTAATAATTCTGTCAATTCAAGATTTTTACTGCTGACAACATCACCAACTTTACAAAACTTGTGGTTGCTATGGTCACCGTCTATGATGCAGTGAGAACACACAGGTCTGTCACATGACTTACAAAACAGAGTAATCTGCTCAGATCTGTGAACAAGACAGCAATCAGATATTTCTTTAAGACACTCCTGGACATTTTGGTGTTGGTCCTCTGTAGATAAAGCCTTAGCAACAGAGGTGACATCCTTCACCTTATTGGATGAATTTTTACCTTCGTCTTCTGTCACTGATTCTTGTGCCTGATTGTTTTGTTTTAGTAAATCTACTTTTTGTTCTGTATGAGGTATTTCTACTTCCTGTTTAGGTTGAGGTGATGCCACTTCCTGTTTGGGATGAGGTGATACCATTGCCTGTTCAGAATGAGATGTTGCAACTTCCTGTTCTGGATGAGGTGATGCCACTTCCAGTTTAAGAGGAGGTGGTGTAACTTCCTGTTCTGGATTAGGTGATGCGACTTCCTGTTTGGGATGTGGAAACACCACTTCCTGTTCAGTTTCCGGTAACACCACTTCCTGGCCATGCGTTGTTGATGGTGATGTTTCTAGTTCTATGTAAGTCATTACTTGTGTCTGATTCGTTGGATGTTCCAATGGAGAATGTTCTTTTGATTCACTGTCTAAAGATTCTTGTGTCAGATTGGTTGAGTGTTTCAGTGCTGTTACTTCTGATTCAGTGTTCGGTAGAACCACTTCCTGTCCCTGTTCTGTTGATGTCATTGTTTCCTGTTCTGTCTTTGTTCTCTGTGGTTGTTTTGTCTCCTATCAGGTGGAAACCAAAACTTTCACCGTATGTTTTTGATGATCCACAACTTATTTTTCAGTCATTTCTCAGTGAAATTTCACTTTTTTTTCTGCCTGAAATATAGTGAGAACATTTTGTTAAGTACGTCTTTATGCAATACTATATATGTTCTATGGTTAACTTTTATTCACTTTCATTAGAATTTTTTTAAGATTAGTACTCATTTAATGCTTTGTTCATATTACAATGTAGTTCAAGGAAATTATGACGACACTTGTATCAATTATACATAAATATTATGCACAATTAATCAGTTTATAAGCACCACATAACTACATGTACGACGTAGTCCATGTATTAAACCTATAGATCAACATAATTATATTGATACTCTGTATTTATTAGGTGACCAGAGGCTAAATGGCCTATATGATAACGATAATATAGACCACACCTAACATATCACCATTATGGTATTGTAGATTGACACTGGTTCATTCACCATGCACAACAAAACAATGCCACAATTTGCCTTTAGTAGGACCAATATGGTAATAAACCATTTATAATAATAACAGTGTATAGAGACAGAAGAATTCCTCAATTTTACCTTCTATAACCACCGGTACTTATAATAATTTCTTAACTATATTTGTACAAGATGAACTCTCTGTAATATATGACAAGTTAACTGTAGATCTTGTTACTTTGCCAGCTTCCTCTAGTTTGATATGCTACACTGAAATTTAACACATAGTAGAAAGGAAAGTAGTGCCCTGCCCAGGCTTACAATCTACGTCACGAAATTACCTAATCGATAAATACCTGTGACACTAACCACAGCACCACCACTTCTTCTAAAATAGTATTCTCTTAATGTACAAAGTCTATTTTATATATTTTAGACTGCTCTGCTTCCTTTGAACGACATGTATTTACATTTAAATATTTGGATATTAAGTGCTTGTATCATCCATTAAATATAAGTATTAATGAATATATTCTTACCTCTCAGGTCCCCTGACACAAACACATTGAATCCTGCTTTCCTCTATATAAACTACCCGTGGTATAATGTGCGTTTAAAACAACTTACTTATCTGTACCTAACAGGAAGTGTTAGATAACAATGGTGGTCTTGGGTAAAAGGTATTCGGAGTACAGATAAGGAAAAAATGATTTGAAATACAAGATAAAACGAATCGATAAACGCACTGAATGTTCATTATATGTGTACTGTTCAGTCCTGCATAGTGAATAAACATGTCTTACTGCAGGTATGCATTACTTTAAAGATTTACTTGTGTCTATAGTTCATCCTTGGACCTATTAAAACTGCTGTTTATATAAATAACCTTCAAAAATGATATGGAGGACATTTTCAATACATCTGTTTATCAAAGTTTGAAATAAGAACTTTTAAATATGAATCCAAACAACTCCTGTTTAGAAACAAAATCATTGGATTGACATGTACTGGGAATTACTCAATGTTTCTGTGAGGTTTATGTTCATGTACAATGTACTATATATATTATATTATCCAATTGTGAACCTGCTCTATTTCATTTGAGTAAAATCTATATGTGAGTTTAGATCTGCATCTCAGAACATCAAAATGGGTCCGAACACCTCTGTGTATTTAAAGAATCAACAATAAATTGAAATTTGAAAATCAAATTAGCTTGGTGTCACAAGGTATTCTGGTACTGGGGAATTTACCCACACAGGTAAGTTTTTGGAACATGGTACATATTTTATAATATTCCAGTGGTCTGTCAAATTGATGTTTGTAACTTCACCAAATTCATATTGCATTCATATGAACTATAAATGTCATGGCCTACATGTGATCACCATTAAGTTTGATTTTGGCCTTTTAACAGCGAAGGTAATTTAAGGATGTACACATACATTACACTGTGTGTTGGGTATTTGTTTCGTGGTGATAGTGTGGATTTGATGCAGTCTTTAAGAGTGCTACCTCACTAAAAATGTCTAAGGGGTCTTTATAGTGTTACCTCACTGAAATATCATGCCGCCCAGGCACTCCACACAGTATTCAACTTGATCACATTATACTGACAACAGGTAAACCAGTAGTGGCAATTACCCTTAATGCTGATTGCTCAAGTTGGCATTTATATCCACTATGAATGCCAACTGGAATCAGTTCAATATTTAAATGTGTATCTTTTCAACTTAATTGTGCCATTAATATGGCCAGGCCTTTTTGGCTTATGCCCTACCAAAGCATGTGTCAACAGTTTTTTCAAATGACTTCTTCTTAATCGTTGAACAGAATATTTCCACATTGTTTTGTTGGTAACATATTATATTGTAGGGGGCATATTGCTTTAAATGATTTTCCATCTTAAAATATGAAACGGATATTAGATTCAGCATCCACAGGTGGCAATGATCCAAAAATGTACTTATACTCACTGAAAATTTCCCAGTATACAGTAGTTCTCTCTCAAGAACCATCAATACAGTTGCTGAGCATGAAGAGACAAACAGCATCATGTCATCAGGATTTGTCCAGGAGTCTGTTCTTTATAACCATACACCTCGATCCTTGCTGGTCATGAAGAGATAAATACATTTATGATTTAAGTATTGGCCCTGGGTCTGATCCTGCCCTTTGGGACTTATTCCCTGGGTTTTACCATGGAAATGTTTAAGATCCCCACACCATGCTATCTGCCTGGGGTCTCCTATTCAATTGGACACATATTACCTGGGGTCTCGAGCTCCCATTGAATTGGACACATAGTACCTGGGGTCTCCCATTCAATTGGACACATAGTACCTGGGGTCATAACATTGGAACGGTTGCGATCCCAACCCTGTAACCATATGCATAATTGCTGGGCATATCAACAGAATCTAAAAGGCTTATTTTTGTGATATAATAACCATAGTTATCAAATGTGAAGGGTGATATCAACAATGGGAAAAATTGGATTATGGCCGTAGGGCAAATGGTTGACTGGACAAAAATTTCCCAGTATACAGTAGTTCTCACTCAAGAACCATTAATACAGTTGTTGAGCATGAAGAGACAAATACCATCATGTCATGAGGATTTGTCCAGGAGTCTGTTCTTTATAACCAGTCTGTATTCCTTAATCCTTGCTGGTTATGAAGAGATAAATACATGTATGCTTGAAGTATTGGCCCTGGGTCTGACCCTGCCCTTGGGGACTTATTCCCTGGGTCTTACCATGGAAACGTTTAAGATCCCCAGACCATGATATCTTGATTTCCCCTCCCTGGGATCTCCCCTTTACTTATACACATAGTGCCTGGGCCATAAGATGGGAACGGTTGAGATCCCAACCCTTTAACCATATTGCTCAGCATGTACTGACTTCTGATTGGTTGATCTGCCCCTGCGGTCTAAGTTATGACCTAATCTTTAGTTATAACTAGAAACAGTTCAGACCGCCACCTTAACACAATATATTATAGGCTTGCTATCAGTATTGGCCCAGGTTCTGGCCCCACACTTGGAGTCTTACTTTATTACTTTTGATTAAAATGTTTTGCCACGATGGCTTATGTATCCAGGTAAGATACAGGCCCTATGCACCTCTTGTTTAAATTGAGATCAAATCAAAGGGTACCAAACAGAATTTTGTACATCTGCAAGATGAGGTTTTAGCTTAATGTGTATTAACCGTCTAACACATACTAAACACATTATACATATACACAATGAAAAATATTAACATATATATTAATACATTTTGTATTCTGTCTACACTGAAATTTTTATTGGAAATTAGTAAATATGAAAATATTTACATAAATTTTATTTGAAGGTATTATTTTATGTGCAATTAGCAAATATGAATATATTTATGAATTCAAATTTTATTTGAAGAAACTGTGTATTAAGAAGGTAATGTGCTTCTGTCAAAATCATTTAAAATAAATTAAGTGCATCCAAATTACAAATGCACTAACTATAAAATTACGCAATATTTTAAATGAAATTGTTGGTTTTGAAGTTTTGACACAAGGAGCTGGCTGTTTGTGTTTTCCAAATAATATTTTAAGTGTCTGGTAAAAAGAATTTTTATCCTGTATCAGACACCTGCTGTTAAATGGCCCTGAAATTTCTTTCTATTAATTGTATAAGAAATGTCTAAAATTAAATCTTATATTATGTTTTATTGAATTGGCACACCATCATTGCCTTTCTTCCATAATCTGTGGTCCATCCGTTCATCTATCTGTCCTTAAACAATTCTTCTTATCGCTGTTTCTCAGAAAGTATTAATTGGAGTGATCTTTTTTCAGATTTAATATGTAAGTTACTCCTGGACGTTAATTAGTTGTGCATATTTTGTTTGAGACTGACCATATAAAAAATATGTTGCCGTCAGCTGGCCATCATGGATTTTGAGAATAAAGGTTTGTTATTGCTATTTCTCAGAAAGAAGTGGAGAGATCTTTCTCAAGTTTCACATGAAGGTTCCCCCTTTGGTCCCTAGTTATGCATCAAGAATTTTGAGACTAGTCAGAAAACAAAGATGGTCGAGAGGCAGCCATCTTGAATTTTAAGAGTTAAAGTTTGTAAGTCCTACTTCTCAGAAAGTAGTTGAGGGATCTTTCTCAAATCACATGGTCCCAAATACGTATTTAACTTTGGGACTGATAAGAAAACTAGAATTGGTGACACCTGGCAGCCATCTTAAATTTTGACAGTTCTGTTTTTGTATTGTTAAAAATAACCCTGGGCCTAGTGAGAATCTATCCATCATTGACAGCACTTCTTATAAAAGCAATTCTTGAAAAAATGAAAAAAACTTTTGTCATAGTAGCAAATATGGTATGACATTACCAGGTTTAAGTTAATGTACAAAATTCATGTCTAGGATTTCCAATATGGGACTGGGTAATTGTACCTGCAAGGGAAATGAACAGCAAAGAAGGTAAAAGATCATTTTTTTGTAGATTTGATAAAGATCTTTCATGGTGGGTGCCAAGATCCTTCTAGGATCTCTTATCATCTTTTAACATTTAGCCTTCAATTAACATTTCAATTTCTTATGGTCTTATACAGGGTAGATTTTCCATTCCTGGTACTTTTGGTCAGTGGCGGTCATGCACTGTTGACAGTGGCCCAAGGAGTGGAAGACTTCCAGTTGCTTGGTAAAACAGTGGACGTTGCACCTGGAGATGCCCTGGACAAGGTGAGCAATAAACTAAAGTTTAACTAATCTATGGGAACACATCACAGCCAGGAGACATCAATTGCAAGATTATTTTTTAAGGACAGGATTTTCTCTGTACCAATGCAGTTTTGTTTGATATATAAATGCTGAAAAAAGTGCGAAACGAAGTTTTATAATGTCAACATTTTCCTTGGCATATTGTGATAAAAGCATTGGTTATATATTTAAGTGTAAAAATCCTAGTTGTAGATGAAGGGAGACTGGGGAATCGTAGGGAGTAACTGGTCAGTTCGTTTTATTTTCTCGCACTAGACTTCCAGGTGCTTGAACCTTAAGGTGTTGCCAGAGTGCCAGGGACTGAGTGGAGGTGCAGCCATAGAGAGGATGGCCAGGGGAGGTAATCACAAAGCAGTCACATGCCCAGGCATCACCCTTCAGACTCCAAACTGTGATTTCAGTTTCAGTGGGATTGGATCATTTGCCAGGCGTTGGATAGAGGCTGAAAGACTAAAACATAGTAAGTTACTTGTCAGACAATTTCTCTCAGATCATTTGTAAGATTGTAATATTTGTTATTGTCATTTTTTTTTTATTTTTTTTTTCATTTTAGAATATTTTATTGTATTGATCTTACTTACAAAATGAATGGGGTAACAGGCAGGCAAAGACTATACAATCCCTCTCCTTGTTATGGCCAATAAGATTTTCTGTAATACTATACATACAAGTTGTCAATCTGTTATAACTTGGTTTTTATAGATTTTTTTTCTTTCTTTGCATTCACTGGTAGGTTGTGTCACACTTAACCCTTTCACCACTGTAGACCATAATGGACTTATCCAGATCAACATTTCAGGTCATATGTCATGACAGTGTAGCAACTGATGGTGGTGTCACTCAATGTCCATCTTCAATATTCCAGAGGTTACACCCACTTACATTCTCTGCACCCTGGGCCCGTATTCATGAAACTATTCTCATGCTCAAGCATGGATTCTGTGCTCAACCCAACTTTCTTTTACTCGCTTAAATCATGTCAAACGATCAAAAAGTCATATGTTAACACTGAAAACAGTTTTCAGCTTTAAGTCTTTCCAATGGTCTTCCAAGTCATTGACAAAATAAGATTTAAAAACAAATTATAACGGGAACAAGAAATTTGGCTTGAGCACAAAGTGCATACTTGAGCATGAGAACTGTTTCATGAATACGGGCCCTGGAATATGTTATAACAAACATAAAGGCAGGCATTTAGGTATTTAATTGGTTTCAGGTAGAAATCTGACCAGTCGTTAGACTGATACCTGTCCTTTGAAGATTATAGAGTAGCAATGCCAGACTTCATAGCCCATCAGTTTTACCATTACGCACTACTATTGATGTACATCAAAGGACCAAACTAGTCCACTGTATTTCATCCACAAAGTGGTACCTACAGAGCCTACGATTTGTCATGACATATTCCAGGAATGCAGAGTGCAAAAGTGAGCGTAACTGCTGGAAGTTTGAGGATGCTTAATGTCAATTCAAAGTGCCATCCAACTAAGAATTTATAAATTGGACAAAGAATTATGACACACCACCTGGTCACTTTATTCTGACAACAGGAAGGTGCCTTATATGTAGACCACCTCCAACAAGAAAGAATAGTTGGTCCGTCTGTCGAAGTTTGGCTTGTCCGCTGGTCCGTCTGTCCAACATATGGCTTGTCCACTGGTCAGTCTGTCCAACATTTGGCTGGTCCGTCTGTCCAACATTTGGCTTGTCCGCTGGTCCGTGTCCAACATTTGGCTGGTCAGTCTGTCCAACATTTGGCTTGTCCGCTGGTCAGTCTGTCCAACATTTGGCTTGTCCGCTGGTCAGTCTGTCCAACATTTGGCTTGTCCGCTGGTCCGTCTGTCCAACATTTGGCTTGTCCGCTGGTCCGTCTGTCCAACATTTGGCTTGTCCGCTGGTCAGTCTGTCCAACATTTGGCTTGTCCGCTGGTCAGTCTGTCCAACATTTGGCTTGTCCGCTGGTCCGTCTGTCCAACATTTGGCTTGTCCGCTGGTCCGTCTGTCCAACATTTGGCTTGTCCGCTGGTCAGTCTGTCCAACATTTGGCTTGTCCGCTGGTCAGTCTGTCCAACATTTGGCTTGTCCGCTGGTCCGTCTGTCCAACATTTGGCTTGTCCGCTGGTCCGTCTGTCCAACATTTGGCTTGTCCGCTGGTCAGTCTGTCCAACATTTGGCTTGTCCGCTGGTCAGTCTGTCCAACATTTGGCTTGTCCGCTGGTCCGTCTGTCCAACATTTGGCTTGTCCGCTGGTCCGTCTGTCCAACATTTGGCTTGTCCGCTGGTCAGTCTGTCCAACATTTGGCTTGTCCGCTGGTCAGTCTGTCCAACATTTGGCTTGTCCGCTGGTCCGTCTGTCCAACATTTGGCTTGTCCGCTGGTCCGTCTGTCCAACATTTGGCTTGTCCGCTGGTCAGTCTGTCCAACATTTGGCTTGTCCGCTGGTCAGTCTGTCCAACATTTGGCTTGTCCGCTGGTCCGTCTGTCCAACATTTGGCTTGTCCGCTGGTCCGTCTGTCCAACATTTGGCTTGTCCGCTGGTCAGTCTGTCCAACATTTGGCTTGTCCGCTGGTCAGTCTGTCCAACATTTGGCTTGTCCGCTGGTCCGTCTGTCCAACATTTGGCTTGTCCGCTGGTCCGTCTGTCCAACATTTGGCTTGTCCGCTGGTCAGTCTGTCCAACATTTGGCTTGTCCGCTGGTCAGTCTGTCCAACATTTGGCTTGTCCGCTGGTCAGTCTGTCCAACATTTGGCTTGTCCGCTGGTCAGTCTGTCCAACATTTGGCTTGTCCGCTGGTCCGTCTGTCCAACATTTGGCTTGTCCGCTGGTCCGTCTGTCCAACATTTGGCTTGTCCGCTGGTCAGTCTGTCCAACATTTGGCTTGTCCGCTGGTCAGTCTGTCCAACATTTGGCTTGTCCGCTGGTCCGTCTGTCCAACATTTGGCTTGTCCGCTGGTCCGTCTGTCCAACATTTGGCTTGTCCGCTGGTCAGTCTGTCCAACATTTGGCTTGTCCGCTGGTCAGTCTGTCCAACATTTGGCTTGTCCGCTGGTCAGTCTGTCCAACATTTGGCTTGTCCGCTGGTCCGTCTGTCCAACATTTGGCTTGTCCGCTGGTCAGTCTGTCCAACATTTGGCTTGTCCGCTGGTCAGTCTGTCCAACATTTGGCTTGTCCGCTGGTCCGTCTGTCCAACATTTGGCTTGTCCGCTGGTCCGTGTCCAACATTTGGCTGGTCAGTCTGTCCAACATTTGGCTTGTCCGCTGGTCAGTCTGTCCAACATTTGGCTTGTCCGCTGGTCAGTCTGTCCAACATTTGGCTTGTCCGCTGGTCAGTCTGTCCAACATTTGGCTTGTCCGCTGGTCAGTCTGTCCAACATTTGGCTTGTCCGCTGGTCAGTCTGTCCAACATTTGGCTTGTCCGCTGGTCAGTCTGTCCAACATTTGGCTTGTCCGCTGGTCAGTCTGTCCAACATTTGGCTTGTCCGCTGGTCCGTCTGTCCAACATTTGGCTTGTCCGCTGGTCCATCTGTCCAACATTTGGCTTGTCCGCTGGTCAGTCTGTCCAACATTTGGCTTGTCCGCTGGTCAGTCTGTCCAACATTTGGCTTGTCCGCTGGTCCGTCTGTCCAACATTTGGCTTGTCCGCTGGTCCATCTGTCCAACATTTGGCTTGTCCGCTGGTCAGTCTGTCCAACATTTGGCTTGTCCGCTGGTCAGTCTGTCCAACATTTGGCTTGTCCGCTGGTCCGTCTGTCCAACATTTGGCTTGTCCGCTGGTCAGTCTGTCCAACATTTGGCTTGTCCGCTGGTCAGTCTGTCCAACATTTGGCTTGTCCGCTGGTCCGTCTGTCCAACATTTGGCTTGTCCGCTGGTCAGTCTGTCCAACATTTGGCTTGTCCGCTGGTCAGTCTGTCCAACATTTGGCTTGTCCGCTGGTCCGTCTGTCCAACATTTGGCTTGTCCGCTGGTCCGTCTGTCCAACATTTGGCTTGTCCGCTGGTCCATCTGTCCAACATTTGGCTTGTCCACTGGTCAGTCTGTCTAACATTTAGCTTGTCCGCTGGTCAGTCTGTCTAACATTTAGCTTGTCCGCTGGTCAGTCTGTCCAACATTTGGCTTGTCCGCTGGTCCGTCTGTCCAACATTTGGCTTGTCTGCTGGTCGGTCTGTCCAACATTTGGTTTGTCCGCTGGTCAGCCTGTCCAACATTTGGCTTGTCCGCTGGTCAGTCTGTCCAACATTTGGCTGGTCTGTCTGTCCAACATTTGGTTTGTCCGCTGGTCAGTCTGTCTAACATTTGGCTTGTCCGCTTGTCAGTCTGTCTAACATTTGGCTTGTCCGCTGCTCCGTCTGTCCACCATTTGGCTTGTCCGCTGGTCCCTCTTTCCAACATTTGGCTTGTCCGCTAGTCCATCTGTCCAACATTTTGCTTGTTCGCTGGTCCATCTGTCCAACATTTGGCTGGTCTGTCTGTCCAACATTTGGCTGGTCCATCTGTCCAACATTTGGCTTGTCCGCTGGTCAGTCTGTCCAACATTTGGCTTGTCCACTGGTCCGTCTGTCCAACATTTGGCTTGTCTGCTGGTCCGTCTGTCCAACATTTGGCTTGTCCGCTAGTCCATCTGTCCAACATTTTGCTTGTTCGCTGGTCCATCTGTCCAACATTTGGCTGGTCTGTCTGTCCAACATTTGGCGTCCGCTGGTCCCTCTTATTTGGCTTGTCCGCTGGTCCGTCTGTCCAACATTTGGCTTGTCTGCTGGTCCGTCTGTCCAACATTTTGCTTGTCCGCTGGTCCATCTGTCCAACATTTGGCTTGTCCACTGGTCAGTCTGTCCAACATTTGGCTTGTCCGCTGGTCCGTCTGTCCGTCCGTCTGTCCAACATTTGGCTTGTCCGCTGGTTCGTCTGTCCAACATTTGGCTTGTCCGCTGGTCTGTTTGTCCAACATTTAGCTAATCCGGTGGTTCCTGAATTCAACCATATTTTATGAAATTTGATAGTAGTATTCTTGACATCAGTCTCTCAAAATCTGTTGATAGTCAAGATCAAATTTCAAGGTCAAGGTCATAGCTGCAGAATCTGTATGTGGCGGCGTGGCGATGGGAAAAGATTTTCCAACAATTCATGACTTCAACCAAGTTTCATAAAAAAATCACACAATTATTTTTTACATCAATCTTCTTGAGACTTGAAGGTCAATGTCATAAACTCATAATTTTACTCCCATGGTGACGTTGAGAATGTGTCTTGTAATGTCTGTAGTACACTTGTTAATGATGAAGTAATTTATTTTTAAAAAAGTTACTTTTGAAAATACCAATTTCATAACTAATGTGAAATAATAGATTTAGTGTACACTGATGAATTTGATTTTGTGATAATTTCAGATCTTGGCGAGGATGATGTCATCCCAAATGTATCTGACTTTTGTGCAAGTTTCCAACACAGTATTATGATGCACTTCCTTCGCAGGCTGCAGAGAGGGTTTCTGTACTGTCAGCAGAAGGGTATTGTTAGCGAACAACCAACACTGGTAGGTATCCACATTTGTGTATTATCGATGGTGTTGTCTATCTCTTTGTGTAACTCCTTTACAGACAGTAAATTGCCGCTAAAAACAGGTATTTTAATACTTCAGACAATATTAAATTGTCCTGCACCTCTGTTTATAATGATAGTTTGAGGTTCTTATATACCGCTTTATCACAACCTAGTGTGTAGGTCATCTTGAAGCAGTTCACAAATTTTAATCGGTGGTTATAGGGCCTTTGCAACCAGCCAATATCTTTCTCAACTCCCTTGGTAGCATACAGCTGGTGCTGGCATTCTACATTTCTAGCACTACCCAACCACATACTCTTTTACAGCTGAGTAGACTGGAACAAGCGGAGTAAAGTATCTTGCTCAAAGATACAACACAGTGCCATGACGTAACTCGAACCTGCAACCCTTTTTTGGTCACGAGCCCGGTGTCCTACCACTAGACTCCCATGCCTCCTATTTTACTGTACATTCATAACAGGGTTGAGTAATGACTTCCTGACCGTGTTTGATTCTAGGTCACATTACTAACTGCCAACTGTTGTATTCTGTCATCATTCTCCATTAAATCTGTCATTTTTGACATTTTCTTCAGGACAATAATTAGACCTAGAGTAAAAGTATTAGACCAGTAGGTATCTGTGATAGAGGCCTTTTCAAAGTTCAACTTGCATTGAGTTCCATTCAAGATCACAGGGGTCAAATATGTTCAAATTTTCAGATGACTTTCTCATGTTTTAGGCCTAGGATTATAATATTTTAGTAGGTAGCTGGGTTGAGGTTTATCAAAGATTTCAAATAAATGACCTTGACCTGCATTAAAGGTCACAGGGGTCAAATCTAATAAAATATTTTAAATTACTTCATTGTATAATGAAGGCTTTAGCCGTCCAAGGGGGAGAACTAGAGGTGTAGGACCTCAAACAGGGCAATTTAACTGTTCCAATATCAAAATCGCTACTCATCATAAATTGTTCGACAGATTTCAAATGAATTATTTAAGAAATGATCAAGCACATGTGGTGAAAATTAAATGGAAACTTTCTCCCCCTTCAGGGAATAGAATGTCCCTTAATCACGAAGGGGGTTCTTTGACACATTAGTATTGATGGGTATTACCTTTCATCCCAGGAAGCATCATGTGCTACTACGTAGCTGTTTGAGCTATTCTCACAAATCTTGCCCTCTTTCGGAAATGTCATAACAAAACAGTCGACATTCACCATGTAACAGCCAAGACATTGTAACGTTCATATTAACTTTGTGACCCTCCAGACCCCTTCCCAACCAAAGGTACCAACCCCTGTAAAGGCCCAATAATCCTTAATTTGCTGGTGAGTTACTAGTAAATGGTTACTGATTTGCTTTGAAATCTAGAATTCATTTAAAACCTGGATAGTATTATAGTCCATGCAAACATATGTCATTGTTGAATAACAATTAAAGGATTGGGCACATTTTCTCACAACTTACCAGGCCCAGTCTCTCCAATAATTGTCCTAACAAAGGAAAAGGTTTCAATGAGAGAAAGAATCTCCATCCAGGATTTGAACGAAATGATGTTAGTTACTAAACAAATATGTTATACATGCTAAACTCATTGACCCCCTACATTTTTAAACTGGATTTGCCCAGTCTTTTTTATGCCCCCACATTTATGCTCCCGTCCCGTCCCGATTCAATGTAAACACTTAGCAACTTCATTCTTTGACAGATTTTGGTCAAACTTTATACAATGGTCAAGTATGAGTATACTTCTGACATCGTTGTATTTCAGGGATCCAAGGTCAAGGCCAAGGTCACACTTTCTATATATAGAAAATCATCAACTAATTCAATTTAAACACTTGGCAACTTCATTCTATCACAAGTTTTGGTCAAATTTTATACAAAAGTCAAATATGGGTATACCTTTGTGTTTCAGGGTTCCAAGGTCAAGGCCAAGTTCACTGTTGCTATATATAGAAAATCATCAACTGATTCAATTTAAACACTTAGCAACTTCATTCAATATGTTATGGAGATGGTAATAACATACAGAAAAAACATATGAATATTAAAATCAACTTATCAATTTTAAGTGTAGTACCTTGTGTGTGTGCATGTTTCAGGGTATCAAGATCAAAGTGGTTGTAACTTTTTATAGAACACTGAAACTAATTTCACATGGCAGCGGGAGCATTTATGTCTTACAGACATTTTCTAGTTTTGATTTAGTAAGGTTCAAATGTGACTTTAGGGGTGGATGGGTTAAGGTTGATGAATATGTCTAACAGAATTTTTCTCTCTCTCTTGTCTAGGTAGTATCCGGAGGTGTAGCCAGTAACCAGATATTTAGACAGGGGTTTGAGGCTGTCTGTCAGGAGAGTGGCTACCATCTTGTGTGTCCACCACCTAAGTTGTGTACTGACAACGGGATCATGATTGCTTGGTAGGTAGTGTCACACTTTTAAATGATTTAGATTTGAGATTGATAGGGTTGAGATTTTTCTGTCTTGTGCTCCTGAAGTGGGGAATGATTATTGTTATTTCATGAAAAACAATCGTTGATTTCACAATTTCCAGCAGATTGGCGTTATCTTCTGTGATCTGCTTTTGTTGACTTGACCTCATGGTATTGTTGATGTGATGTCAATGAATTGCTGATGTGACATCATACAATCGCTATGACAGGGGAATCTCCTCGTCTATATCCTAAGGGAAGACAGATTTCCTTGACTGGAAGTAACGATATTGGTGTCTGCTAGCTTGTATAATGGGGAAGAAAAGGGTTTTTCAAACTTTTAAAAACTGATCAGCTGAATTTATTCATCATATGTGACCAGTGGATAGCGCACTTGCCTTTCACCAAGGTGGCCAGGATTCAATTCCCCGTACGGATTAGAAAAGATATTGGGTCACCTGCCCGACCACGTGGGTTTTCTCCGGGTACTCTGGTTTCCTCCCACATTAAGACCTCTGCGTGCTAACATCCAGGCCAACAAGAATGATTTATATAAGTTGAACTAACTTGTTTCAAAATTGTTGTAAAATGAATAAAGTTTATACATTGAAAACAAGCATGACACAGCTATATCTTTGGTTATTACTGTAAGACACATTTGGACTCAAAGAGTTATGTCCCTTTGATTTATTGCTTGTATGTCTTTACAGGAATGGTATGGAGAAGTTGCTCAATGGTACAGGGATAGAGCCAGATCCTCAGGCAGTGAAGGCAATCCCTACTAAAGCCCTAGCCAGGTAAGGTTTATAATCATCTCAGTTTGAGTCCCCTCCAGGTCAGGTCACCCATATTAAGACATGGCCATGTAATGTGTATCACAGCTCCTAACTCACTTCCATTTCCCCTGTTGTCTACCTGTTGGTTCTGTATATTGTTTAGAAGTGATGGCCTGTTACAATTTTTCGTTTTTAATGAATAATTCCCCTTTTCACAAATTAATTAAAAATCATGTTTCTTTTGGTTACAGCTGCCCTATCGGTCAGTGTGTGAGAGAAGAGCTTGTCGCATGTAACATACGACTCCCAAAGCCTAAACCACTACACAACCGCTTACAGTCAATCTACTCCAACGAGAAAACGTGATGAGATTGTTATGTATGTCTCTACAAAGAAACCTAAGATGGCTGACGATATCTCTCAACTCTCACTCTAATGCAGCAATATATGTGTATAGACTCCTTCAAGCAATCGTCTATTCCATCTGTCTTCAGGAGTTGTCTTTTAGTGACGCGTGTCGCCAGGCTCTTGTTGCCGGTCGTCTGGCTTACAAGGCAGCAGATGTCGAAGAGTTTTCCTGGATTTACAAGTCATAGAATTTATTAATACAGGAATTTATTAAACAGATATTGCCAAGTGGAAAATTGATAATTTCCCATATGAAGCCTTCTGTTATCTTCCTGCATGTATAAGTCAAAGAATGTATGTATGCAGTAATTGAATTCATGTGTAAAAACAGGTGTATTTGATTTTTAAAACCAGTAAATATTTTTCATAGAAATGGATAATCAATTTCTTGTGATTTAGTCAACTCATTTTATGACCCATTTCAGCATTTTCATGCTATGGGCTATAAACAGTTTTTAGCTCATTTTGCTAATGTGAGCTATTGCTATCTGTCTTCCTCCGTCGTCGTGCGTCGTCCGTTAACAATTAAACATTTTCGACTTCTTCTTCAGAACCACTTGTGCGATTGACTTCAAACTTGATACAAATATTCCTTATGATGTCCTGACCAAGTGTTGCTAAGTTTCTTTCTGATCTGAAAATCCAAGATGGCCACCCTGATCCATGATTTGCTGATTTCCCCGATTTCTTCTCAAGATTTGCTCAAGCAATTGACTTTAAATCTGGTACAATTGTTCATTATTTGGTCCTGAACATGTGTTCTTACATTTGGTGCCAATCCACAAATTCAAGATGGGCGTCCTGGCCTCTGATTGGCAGAGATATTTTTTTAACTTCTTTTCTCAAGAATTACTCCACAGAATGACGCCTGATGTATAATTGATAATTACAAACCTCTCTGCTTCACACAATGGAGTGCCATTTGATTGGCAGAAACATCTTGATGTTTTTGAACTCATCTAAGTGTTAAGGCCCTTTGCGACTCTTGTTATATTTTCATTATTACACCACCATCACTATGTTACAACCACTAAATAGCTGTGCTCTGATGACGGCCTGCCTAGCAGGCTACTTCCCCATCACCATGTAGCAGTCAAGAAATAGATGTACTCCGACGGCTTAGCAGGTCCAATCTAGTCAGCATAGGTATCAATACAGCTGTGGAAACCTGGATTCAGGAGCTGCTTCTCTCATGTTAATTTTCTTTTATATATTTAGTTAGAAAATTGTCATACCATTAAATAACTGATGAGGATCATTTCTCCTCCATGCTGATTTGGTAAATAAGGATTTCACACAAACACATCGTCAGCTAAGGCTGATGCCTGAAATCTGTAGAGGTGAGTTCAAATCATCAGGTGTCCAGTCAGTATTATATTTGGTAAACACAGAACAGAACACAAGTTTATGTATGTAGAAAAGATAACATTTTATTTTCTATTCTGCATTGTCAAAAACAAATATCTTCACCAGTCTGTAAGACCATTGTATTTACACGAGTCACTGGTACTCCATGTCAACAGAGAAATCATGGCAAAGTTCATAAAATAACATCAATATAAATTAATGACTAAGTGTGAAGAATGTGATATATAATGTATGGTCACAATAACTTATTGTTTAAAATAACACAAAAAGCAAGAAATAGTTAAACACAACTCGGCTCTTTCCCCAAGTCCAAACAAGATTGGGGTGAAAATCTGTTCTTTGTACAGTATGTATTTATCCCTTTCAATTCTATGTAACATAGTAGACTCTACCATGGATTGATCTGGATGAGTCCATTATGGTCTACAGTGGTGAAAGGGTTAAAGGTAGGGCGTGCCACAACTTTTCTGCTACAGTCAAACCTGCCTTGACTACCTCAAAGGACCACCTGAGTTAGAAGGCCATTTTTATGTTCCCCATTGAATTAATTTCATTGTGGATCAAACCTCCATTAAGAGACTACTTTTTGGATTTCCCAAGGATGGTCCCTAGATACAAGTTTGATTGTATATACTGGTATTGAAAAGTATTTTTTTCTGTTAAACTGGTGTTATTTCTTGTTTATTCATACAAAAACAGTTTTGTAAATTGTAGATTATGGGCCCCTTTAGGGAGTCAACATATTGTTGAATTGTTCTCAGGAATGTTTCAGAAAAATATTATCCCAACAAATTTCATGACTGGCAGAACAAGATAAGCTCATGGATGTAGGACCAAGATGTCTGGGGATTAAATCTTTGTGGTAGATGTGTTCTAGTGAAAAAGAAAATCATAATATATTTCTTTCATATAACTCTTCGCTAATGTAAATGGGCAAGCAACTCTAGTAAAAGAATAACCTAACAAATTGAAACTCTTACTTATTAGCAATGCACTGTACAACACAGAACACTGGTACTATCTGCCTTTAGGGATAAAAACGCATTGTTTCTTAGCAAGGTAGAAAATATTTTAAACAATAGATGAACCATGAAAAGCTGAAGTGCGATATCTTTGATGGCTATTTTTACACAAGTAGCTTCTTTTTTAAAGAAAAGGGTCTAATAAAACATACAATGACATGTCATTAAGGAGATTATTCGGCGAAAAGTTGATATATTTAACAAAAGACATGTTTTCTTGACAGTATTACATAGAAATCCTACTATAGTATTATATATTGGAAAATAGCAGTTTCAACAGACATTCATTTCTTGAAATATTCTACCCTGATAGATGAACATTTGAAACTGGTTCAACCATACAACTGGTTTGATTTACTCAATGAGCTGAAGATGGACATACATTTTCTACTCTGATAGATGAACATTTAAAACTGGTTCAACCATAAAGCTAGTTTGAATTACTCAATGAGCTGAAGATGAACATATACATGCTGTGCTATCGTAGTGTTCACTACATACTGACCAATGTTATTGGTGACAACATACACTCCAGAGTGTTTTCATTAATTGGAAACAATTCTACTGACAGAATTTTTGACATTCTTTGAATTGGATGTAAAAATTTAAAACACAAAAATGAGGACATTGGTATGGAAATATATTGCATTGAATATGCTGTATTGAGTACTTTAACTAAGCAGTTCATCTATAAGACAAGAATTTATGTGATGAAAATTTCCTTAGTAATGAATATTCATTATTTAATGTTTACTTTAAAATCTGGTGGATGAAGGAATGAAGTTTTGCATCGACATATTTAAGAGTGTAACTCTTAAACGCATCTACAGTGCCGATTCAGTATTTCACCCCATAAAAGTCATTCATGGACGTGGATACAAGTTGGAGTAACTTATTTCTTAATCAGTTTTATATATAAATAAACAAACTAAACTGATGACTAAATAAACGTTAGAGGCAGAAAATTAGACAAAGCCAACTTCATCAATAGTTATGGCATTTTATCATGGCTCAAGTCATTTAATTAAAGAACGCCGTTATTGTAAACGAACAACTTACTTATGTCTACACTAACAAAATATTAAGTTTTTTGTGCACAAAATGTAAATATAAAATAAATAACTTATTACTAATACAGCTAAAGACATGTATTAAAATTACAGTATTAACAAAATGTACAAAGTATATAGTTATCATGGTCCAATTTACCAGGGTTTAAACTTGTGTAACAGCATGCGTTAGATAGCAATTAAGGATCCCTGTACCACTGCCAGAGTCTGTAAGTGTTTGAAAATCTTATTTTCTGGTACGACTATACCGATAACTTTGATAAATCATTTCTGGAAAGAAACCATACCTTGTGGTACTTTTATGAGAAATATTAAAGATGAAAGATCTGAGAAAAAAATATTCAGCCGTGCTCGACCGAGTTTCGAACACTTGACTTGAGATTGCAGATTGTTAAACTATGGCTATAACCATGAATTGAGATACCAGGAGCCCGTTTGTTTATGTTGAACAACCGGTACGTCCGTTTTTAAATGTAACATTTTTTTGCAAATGTTTATGTAGGCCTTGCAAGGCTTTGTCAAGGCTCGCCTGAAAGCAGCATCAGATTACTGGGTCCGACCCTATTTTCGGACGGCGATAAACGAAAATGGCCCTGGTCAATGGAAGTGTCCTGGCCTAACTTTGCTAAAGTTACATCGAAACGGAAGTTAAGGGGAGGTAACTATATATACGAAACACCACAATGCAGTGGGACAGGTATCCTTAAAGGCCACACAGCACTTTTAGCCTGATCATATATGTACATGCACTAGCAGTGTGCTTGGATTGAATTATCTATACCGAGAACATTTACAGAACAAATGTCGTCTTTACATAGAGATATGTACATGTAATATAAATGAATTTGTTACAATTTCCTGCTAATTTTTTTCATCATTCTAACATTTGTACAAAATTGATGAAAGTATATATCTCATGTGTCTAGAGAAGAAAGCGAATTCAGTCAAAAGTAGAATGAAAAAGAGTGACATGGATTTATCTAAATGAAATATGTAACAGAGAAATTATTTTCGCCCTACAAGCAGATCAGATAAGATTGAAATGCCTCCACTATCTTGCAACCATGTAGAGATAAATGATTTCTAGGGCAACCTTGTATAATATCCCTGAAAATGACAAGTTTGTCGAAGACTCACATATTCTCTATCTCTATACAAAGGATTTCTCAACAGTTAATATATTCAATTAAACCCTATTTAGCAAATTATTAAATCAACAAGTAAAACCTATGGTAACAGTTAAAGCTAACATTTGAGCCATTTTACATCCGATTGCCCTCTCTCAGCCATCTCCAATCAATATACAGTGCACTAGTAACACATGCCAAATATATCACCAGAATACTGAAAAGTAAGTAAACACGTCTGATGAGGCTTACGTCAGCCATTTCAAAATCATTCTACAAGCTTTGGCCCATCTACAATGTTAAATTGTTTAGTGACATCCATCCTGGCACACCCTTGATATTCTGGTTGGACTTGTCTTAAAAATTCATTTCATTACTTTAAATTCTGCATATTTTTAGAGATTTATTTCCTCATTATATAGTTAAAGCATATAAAAACATTTGGCATTAAATTGTTAAAATATTGCCATCACGTTTCTTTGGCATTTTCCCTACAATAACATGAAGCAATCAACAAGCCATTTTGATGAAATTTCATGAATTTTCATGTTAATAAATATACAAATAAACGTAGTACAAGATCTCGTGTGAGAAGATCCAGCACGTCCATATAAGGGAGGCTGAAGAGAAAGACGACCCAACCAACATTCTAGATAGGCAAGATCTGAAATAACTTCTTCAATTAGAAAAACAATACTGTATTACGTAGTCTGAGACAATACCTTCCTTGGACAGAATTTGTGTTCATTTGTATGGACGCAATATTGATATTACACATGTATAGTTGTGTGTTCACCAGCATTTGAGCTTTATAAGTAGAATAATTGAGGCTAGTGAATGAGAATGGTTCTTCAACATCAACATATCACAAATACTAGGCTACCTAGGCAGACTACCCAAACGCGAACTACCTAATATGCAACC